GTGCTCCCAAATGCAATCGGCAACCTCTCCACCACTCTCCAAATTTTCCGTGTAGCAAGTTGTAACATTAGAGGACGAATTCCACAGGAGATTGGCAATCTAAGCAGCTTATACAAGTTGATTTTAAGGTCCAATGACATTATAGGATTTTTGCCTACAACCATTCAGGCTCTTCAAAGTCTTCAGAGGTTCAGCATATCAGACAACATATTAAGAGGGTCATTTCCAGATGTGGTCTGTGGACTAAGAAATTTGTTTAGGATAGGTTTAGGCCAAAATAAATTTTTAGGTCCAATCTCAGATTGTTTAGGGAATATTTCTTCCCTGAGAGAGATCAATCTATGTGAAAATGAATTCACTATCTTCCCTCCCATCCTATGGAGCCTTCAAAATCTTTTCAAGCTGGATTTGCGTTCCAATAACTTGAGGGGTTCTCTACCTCAAGAAATCGGGAATGCAAAAACGGCAATACATATTGATCTCTCACATAACAAACTATCCGGGGAAATTCCCAGTACCATTGGAGGTTTGACATCGTTAATGAACTTCTTTGTGGCTCATAATGCAATCCAAAGTTCTATTCCTGACACATTTGGCAAAGTCCTGGATCTACATTCTTTAGATCTTTCTGATAATAATTTGTCAGGAACGATTCCCAAGTCATTGGAGGGACTTAAGAGCATGAATTATTTAAATATTTCATACAACAGATTAACTGGAGAGATTCCGAATAGAGGCCCTTTTGCCAACTTCACCTATGAATCATTCTTGTCAAATGATGGTCTATGTGGTACTCCTCGAATGCATGTCCCACCTTGTCCTGCCAATACTCCGCGTACTTCAAAGAGCAACAGAGTGGTTCTGTTTGTACTTGTCTCGTTGACAATTCTTGTAGTGTTTATTGTCTCTATCGGTGTATACTTAATTTTCAAGAAGCGCATGAGAGAGCTTCCCAGTGAACTTGACTTGTTGTCCACAATAACACCGGCAAGATTTTCGTATTATGAACTCCAACGGGCAACAAATGGATTCGAAGAAAGCAACTTGTTAGGTCTCGGTAGCTTCGGGTCGGTTTATAAAGGGACTTTAGCAAATGGGATGCATGTGGCTGTAAAGGTTTTTCGTTTGCTAAATGAAGGTGCAAGTAGGAGTTTTGAGGCTGAATGTGAAGTTTTACGCAACATTCGTCACAGAAATCTTACAAAGGTTCTTGGCAGTTGCTCCAACTTGGATTTCAAAGCATTGGTGCTAGAGTACATGCCTAATGAAAGTCTGCAAAAGTGGTTATATTCTCACAATTATTTCTTGGATATGATACAAAGAGTGGGTATAATGATCGATATAGCATCGGCTTTGGAATATCTTCACAATGGTTACTCCAAACCTGTTATCCATTGCGACTTGAAACCCGGCAATGTCTTAATAGATGCTGATATGGTGGGACATCTTAGTGACTTTGGCGTTGCAAAGCTCTTAGAAGATGGGAATTCTATTGACATTACAAACACCTTAGCAACATTTGGTTACATTGCTCCAGGTAAATGTTTTAGTTTTTTTTTTTTTTTTTTTTTCACTTTTTGGATTTGGTTTTAACAACATTCATCACATAACATTATGCATTTCTTATGGTTGTATCCTATTTAATTTTGCCCTGCTTCTAGAGTATGGACAAGAAGGTCTTGTGTCCACGCGTAGTGATATGTACAGTTTTGGTATCATGTTGCTTGAAGTTTTCACAAGGACTCAGCCTACAGATGAAATGTTCAATGAAGATTTAAGTCTAAAAAGTTGGGTGTACAATGCATTTCCTACAAATATAGGTCAGATTATAGACCCAAATTTACTTAGACCGGATGAAGAAAGGTACGATGAAAAATTGCAATGTGCGTTGGCTATTTTTGAGGTAGGCTTGAAATGCTCAGCAGAATCCCCTCGAGAGAGGATGGCCATCAAGGATGCGTTACCAGTATTGGAAAAGATCAAAGTTAAACTTGTTTCGCTGTATGCAAGAACTTGAAATAGTATGCATAGCATATCATATTGTATATCTTTGTTTAAAATGCAAATTAAATGTGACAGTTCTGTTTGTAGCTTTCTGCATATTTATACACCTAAATTTAATTTATTTGCCTCTTATAAGCTCTCTAGTTTTGTGTTGCACCAAGAATATAGAAAAAAAAGTTACATATTTAATTTGTACCTGAAAGGGATGGCCAAGAAGCTGAGTAAAGTATGATTTTCGTATCAAACTCGTCATATGGGATTTTTTTTAGTGTGATTTACCTATTTTCTATAGTTTATCATTTATGCAAAAACTGAAGTAGCATGTATATATACATTATATAGCATCTCTTAATGTATATTTCCTGAAAATGGAAATAAAATGCAGCAGATAGACTTTTTGTACACAAGTGGAATAACATCATTTGCAGTTGTTTTGAAATACAGAGCATAAGAAAGAAAAATGATCCAAATCATTTAGTCGTAACAGTTCGTTTTGTTGCCTTGTGCATATTTTAAACTTTATTTACCTCAGCTCCTATATAACTCTCTAAGATCTCTAGTTTTCTGTTGGACCAAAAATATACAATTGCAATGCTCTTTAAAAAAATTAAAAAAAAAAAAAGAAGAACTTTTTCAATATTACATTGTGGACCTTAATTCAAAATAACGTTATTTTGTTTAAATTAGCACAATTTTTTTATTTTATTTTTTTTTACTTCATCCACTATCCGTCAACACACATCCTCACCAGACTCTCCCCTAATAGCAATCATATTTGTTATTTTATGTTATTTTACCAAAGTAATTGCTTGCATCATTTTCACCCGAAATTCAAGCAAAAGAAGAGCATGTGAATGGAGTTATGGAGGACAGACGATAACCAATGATTTTGACCATATATTGAATACTTGGTGGTTGAAATTTTAATTAGATTTATTTCTCTAGTACCAACTTTGGTAGTAAGCCATTAAATTTGAAGGTAAAATTGTATGTACTAGTCTGGAAGGAGGGCCCGTCAATCAAACACACTCCTCGCATTTGAATAATCACGGGTTCGATTTTTAACAGCAACCTAGTTAAGCTACTCATACATAGATATTTTAGTGATTTACCCTTGCACACCCTCTATACAGTTAGCTGAGGGCAACTCACAAAAATTTTGCATTATAATTGTGAACTGGAATCAAAACCATCTATACAGTTCCAATTTAGGTAGGCCGGGTTCTTACAATACACGATTTAATTCAAATTGAACGTAGAATTCAAACTGCACCGTGACGATCTCTATGCTACAAGACTTAAGAGTCAACTAAGATAAGTTTCCTTCAAACTCGCTTTACTCTCAATTGGTGAGCAATAAATAAATACAAGATGAAAGGTTAGTTGTAGGCCAAATCCATGAAAGTAGTTGAAACTTGAAAGCAAATTAAAGGAGGTGTACGCAATAATTTGCCCAGCAGGAATGGTCCAGTCTTGACCTAGTCCAACCTCTCCAAACATTTATACGAGTTAATATAATATTCTTGAGTATAGTGATTTTGTAACGTTTTGTTTTAAATTTTCAGACTTACCAGATGTGGCTCTCAAATTGTTATTGAATTTTTAACTGAAAAATATAACATGTTTACACAATACTTACACTTAAAATGATACATTTATGGTGCCTGTAGACGGACTGTTGTGGTTCAGTAACCAGGGGCTACAAGTTACTGTATTCTGATCTGAGTGTTTCCAGCTAACTGATCCAATTTCTGCAGGGGCTAATAATAAAGTCCCTGCCCCGCCATACACTTAATTCCATGCTTGCTAGAGCTGATGAGAATTGATGTTTTGTATTCTTGCATGCATACAGCCAATACGTAGTGGCCTGGGGTCGTCAACTTGAGAGTAAAGACCCGTAGGATACGGAAGTATGAATTGAAGTCATATATTATTGGATTTATTGCAATTCAATAATGCATTTTCCTTCAGATAAATAATAGATAATTGAAGTCCACTCCTTGAGCTGATTTGGTAGTATTTATTAGTAGTATTTATTCATGGAAACCTTAACTAGCCTGTATTGTCTCAACTCTCATATATGCCCGCATACTAACATGGAGATCAGAAAGTTATCTTCTCTATTCTCCTTGTTCATTTTAGCAATGCCTTTCATACCCAGCGCCCAACCCACCAACATCACCACTGATCAATCCTCTCTTCTTTCTTTGAAATCCTACACCACCTTAAGTCCCAACCATACATTGGCAAATAACTGGTCAATCAGTGCTTCTATTTGCAACTGGATTGGAGTTGTTTGCGGATCCAAACACCATAGAGTGGTCGCATTAGACATATCAAATATGGGTATTGTGGGTACCCTTCCTCCACAACTAGGCAACCTCTCTTTTCTTGTTTCTCTTAACATAAGTCACAACAGTTTCTATGGAAATTTGCCTAGAGAGTTAGCCAGCCTACGCCGACTACAATACTTAGATTTTGGTTATAATAATTTTAGTGGAAAAATTCCAGAGGAGATTGGCAATCTTGAGCATGCAAAATGGCTAATATTGGAAGTTAACCAACTTGATGGGCCTATCCCCTTCACCATCTTCAACATTTCCACATTACAAAATTTGGTCCTTAACAAAAATAGCTTTTCTAGCACTCTTCCAATGAAACTATGTCAACATGCTACAAGACTCAAAGTGCTTCACTTGTATTCCAACAAGTTGAGTGGTGATATTCCAAAGAATTTATCAGGTTGCTCAGAACTTGAAGTTTTGCAGTTGGGTTACAATAATTTTGTCGGGATAATTCCGAGAGAGATTGGGAGCTTAAATATGCTTCGTACTTTAAATCTCAGAAATAACAACATAGAAGGTATGTACGTTCAATTCCTTCATTTGACTATTAGAGTAATGTGAAACCTTTAAAAATGATAAATTTAATGGTTTTCTTTAATAATTCTAATAAATACATTATACATATAACTCATTTTTGATTTGATTTTGTAGGAACAATACCAGAAACAATATTTAACATTTCTACACTAACTTATTTAGACATGGCAAACAACCATCTCTTTGGTATTCTTCCACCAAACATGTGTTCACATCTTCAAAAGCTTGAAAAACTTTACTTGTATGCGAACAAGCTATATGGCAACATTCCAAGGAGCATAGCTGAATGCTCAATGCTACAAGCTCTTCAACTTACTAAGAATTCCTTGTCAGGTATGGAATGTAAATCTCCTCTTTTTTTATTGTCTTGCACTCTCAACATGTACAATTTTTTTTTATTTTTTATTTTTTTATAGGAATAAGGATCAAATAGGCCACTCAACTGCACATCAAACTACAATTAGGCCATCGAACTAAAAAACAATGCAATTAGGTCCCTGAACAATACAAAATCATACAATTAGGTCCAAAATGACCTGTTTACCTGAAAGAGCAGGTTACCGATTTTTAAAATAAAATAATTAATTAAAATTAAGAAAAAAAACCCATAATCCACCCCCGGGGGTTGGTCTCCGGCCATGGACCGAAAGTCCATGGCCTCCTCTCTTCGTCTCCAAGAAAGAGCCTTTTCCAGCACCGCCGTTTCTCAGTTCCCTGCTCTTTCATCCCCATGTCACCAACAGAAATTAAAGTACCTATATATCTGACTTTAATTTTCAGCTTGTTGTATGCTGAAGAAAATATTAATAAAATTCATTAAGCCTCTGAGTGTGGTTGGAGTGTTTCCAGCTAACTGATCCAATTTCCAATTTCCAATTTCTGGGGCTAAAGTCCCTGCCATAGACCGAAAGGCATCCATGCTAGAGCTGATAGATTACGAACACCGTAGCAATTAATTCAGGAGAATTGATATTTTGTATTCTTGCATGCATGCATACACCCAATACGTACAGCTCATATATATAGTGGGGTCGTGAACTGGAGAGCTGAGTGAAGACCCGTTGGATACAAAAGCATATATGAAGTCATATATTATTGCAATAATGCATTTTCATTAAGATAAATGATAGATAATTGAAGTCCACTCGTTCAGTACATATTATATGGTGCCGTGCAAGTAGTATTTATTCATGGAAACCTTAGCCTGTATGTATCAATTGTCATATATGCATACTAACATGGGGATCACAAACCTATCTTCTCTACTATCCTTCTTCATTTTAGCAATGCCTTTCATAACCAGCGCCTTAGCCACCAACATCACCACTGATCAATCCTCTCTTCTTTCTTTGAAATCCTATACCACCTTAAGTCCCAACCATACATTGGCAAATAACTGGTCAATCAGTGCTTCTATTTGCAACTGGATTGGAGTTGTTTGCGGATCCAAACACCATAGAGTGGTCGCATTAGACATATCAAATATGGGTATTGTAGGTACCCTTCCTCCACAATTAGGCAACCTCTCATTTCTTGTTTCTCTTAATATAAGTCACAACAATTTCTATGGAAATTTGCCTAGAGAGTTAGCCAGCCTACGCCGACTACAATACATAGATTTTGGTTATAATCATTTTAGTGGAAAAATTCCACAAGAGATTGGCAATCTTGAGAATGCAAAATGGCTGATATTAGAAGTTAACCAACTTGATGGTTCTATCCCCTTCACCATCTTCAACATTTCCACATTACAAAATTTGGTCCTCAACAATAATAGCTTATCTACCTCTCTTCCAATGAATCTATGTCAACACGCTACAAGACTCAAAGTGCTTTGCCTCTATTTCAACAAGTTAAGTGGTGATATTCCAAAGAATTTGTCAAGTTGCTCCGAACTTGAACAATTGCGGTTGGGTTACAACAATTTTGTTGGGACAATTCCGAGAGAGATTGAGAGCTTGACTATGCTTCGGATTATAAGACTCGGTAATAACAACTTAGAAGGTATGTATGTTCTTAGCTTGCATTTGGCTACTAGAAAAGTTTAATGGTTTTCTGTAACAATTATATTCTAAATACATATATACTATATAGGACTCATGTTTTAATTTTGTAGGAATAATACCTCAAACAATATTTAACATTTCTAAACTAATTGTTATAACCATGAGAAACAACAATTTGTCTGGTATTCTCCCACCAAACATGTGTTCAAATCTTCAAAACATTGATGAAGAACTTTACTTGCATATGAACAAGTTATATGGCAACATTCCAAAGAGCATAGTTGAATGCTCTAAATTAAACTATTATAATGCAACTCTAGAAATAGACTCAATAATCATGACAACTACATAAGAATATTATATTTGTTCGTGATTTAGCTTGGGTAACTTGAATTGGCAGGTGAAATACCAAGAGAGATTGGGAACTTGAATATGCTTCAAATTTTAAGACTCGATAATAACAATTTGGAAGGTATGTATATGAGCCTGCATTTGGCTTGTAGAACATTTGAAAATAAAGAAAATTTAATGATTTTTGTGTAATAATTCTAATAAATAAGTATATAGTATATATAAATCATGTTTTGCTTTTATTTTGTAGGAACAATACCAGAAACAATATTTAACATTTCTACACTAACTTATATAAACATGGCAAACAACAGTCTATTTGGTATTCTCCCATTGAACATGTGTTCACGTTTGCAAAAGCTTGAAGAGCTTTACTTGTATAAGAACAAGCTATATGGCAACATTCCAAGGAGCATAGGTGAATGCTCATCGCTTGAATACCTTTATATGTGGGATAATCAATTAAATGGATCGTTGCCAAGAGAGATTGGAAATTTGACAATGCTAAACAATCTTCAACTTACTGAGAATTCATTGTCAGGTATGAAGGATAGATCTCCTCTTTTAAATTGGTTTACACTCTCAAAAAGTATAGTTTTTTATTGAGCTACAAAATAAAATAATGTTAAATTATTATAATGTAAATATAGGAATGGACTCCATCATGACAACTACATAAGGATATTGTATTCAATTCGTTTGTGACTTAACTCGGGTAAGTTGAAATGGCATGTAGGTGAAATACCAAGAGAGATTGGGAATTTGAATATGCTTCAGATATTAAGACTCGATAATAACAATTTGGAAGGTATGTATATGAGCCTGCATTTGGCTAGTAGAACATTTGAAAATAAATTTTTTAATGATTTTTGTGTAATAATTCTAATAAATAAGTATATAGTATATATATAACTCATGTTTTGCTTTTATTTTGTAGGAACAATACCAGAAACAATATTTAACATTTCTACACTAACTTATATAAACATGGCAAACAATAGTCTATTTGGTATTCTCCCATTGAACATGTGTTCACGTTTGCAAAAGCTTGAAGAGCTTTTCTTGTATAATAACAAGCTATATGGCAACATTCCAAGGAGCATAGGTGATTGCTCTTCACTTGAATACCTTTATATGTGGTATAATCAAATAAATGGACCATTGCCAAGGGAGATTGGAAATTTGACAATTCTAAAAGGTCTTGATTTTGGTGGCAATTATTTGTCAGGTATGGACAATGGAGTTCTTCTTTTTAATTGTCTTGCTCTCTCAACGCATACAATTTTTAATTCCGGTGCAAAATGAAAAAAAAAAAAATTATATATAATGTAAATCTAGAAATAGACTCCATCATGACAACTACATAAAGATATTGTATATGTTCTTGATTTAGCGTGGGTAACTTGAATTGGCAGGTGAAATATTAAGAGAGTTTGGCAACCTTAATAAACTAGAGATCCTTCGATTGTTGGAAAATGGATTAAGTGGTTCCATTCCCTGGGAAATCTTCAATATATCAACACTTGAATCACTATCACTTGCTGTAAATAACCTTTCAGATACTCTTCCAACATTTTTAGGTCATTCCCTTCCTAATTTAAAATACTTATACCTTGATGATAACTATATTGGAGGAGTTATACCTGCCCAAATCTCAAATGCTTCCAACCTTACTGGTATTGATCTTGGCGAGAACCAATTCACAGGCTTCATTCCCAATTCCCTTGGAAACTTAGCAAAACTCCAAAATCTACGTCTAGCTAAGAACAATCTAACAACCGATCCTCAATTTAGCCTTATAACTTCATTAACAAACTGTAGATATATCCAATTATTAGACATATCATTTAACCCCTTAAACGTAGTGCTCCCAAATGCAATCGGAAACCTCTCCACCACTCTCCAAAATTTCCATGTAGCAAAGTGCAATATCAAGGGACGAATTCCTCAGGAGATTGGCAATCTAAGCAGCTTATACAAGTTGAATTTATGGTCCAATGACATTATTGGACTTTTGCCTACAACCATTCAGGCTCTTCGGAGTCTTCAGGGATTCAGCATATCAGACAACAGATTAATAGGATCATTTCCAGATGTGATCTGTGAACTACGGAATTTGTTTTGGATAAATTTAGGCAGAAATAAATTTTCAGGTCCAATCTCCGATTGTTTAGGGAATATTTCTTCCCTGGGAAAGATCTATCTGTATGAAAACGAATTCACAGTCTTCCCTCCTACCCTATGGAGCATTAAACATCTTTTCATGCTCGACTTGCATTCGAATAACTTGAACGGTTCTCTACCTCAAGAAATCGGGAATGCAAAGACGGCAATACTTATTGATCTCTCAAATAACAAACTATCCGGAGAAATTCCGAATAGTATTGGGGGTTTGACAGAGTTGATGAATTTTTCTGCGGCTCACAACACAATCCATGGTTCTATTCCTGACACATTTGGCAAACTCTTGGATCTACATTCTTTGGATCTTTCCGATAATAAAATCTCCGGAATAATTCCCAAGTCATTGGAGGGACTTATAAGTATGAACTATTTCAATGTTTCTTACAACAAATTAACCGGAGAAATTCCGAGTGGAGGCCCTTTTGCCAACTTCACTTATGAATCATTCTTGGGGAATGATGGTCTATGTGGTACTCCTCGGATGCATGTCCCACCTTGCCCTGCCCATCAATCAAAGAAGAATAGAGTGGTTCTTATTGTACTTGTCTCGTTGGCAGTTCTTATAGTGCTAATTGCCTCTGTTTCTGTGCTCTGCATCTTCAAGAGGCACAGCAGGGGGGAGGTTCCAGAAGAACCAAACTTTCTGTCAGCAACAACTACAGCAAGATATTCGTACTATGAACTCCAACGGGCAACAAATGGGTTTGATGAAAGCAACTCGCTAGGTAGTGGAAGCTTTGGATCAGTTTATAAAGGGATTTTAACAAATGGGATGCACGTAGCTGTCAAGGTTTTTCGTTTGGAACATGAAGGTTCAAATAGGAGTTTTGATAGTGAATGTGAGGTTTTACGCAGCATTCGTCACAGAAATCTCACAAAGGTCCTTGGCAGTTGCTCCAACTTGAATTTTAAAGCATTGCTGCTAGAGTATATGCCCAATGGGTGTTTACATAAGTGGCTGCATTCTCACAGTTATTTCTTGGACATGATACAAAGAGTGAGCATAATGATTGATCTGGCATCTGCTTTGGAATATCTCCACTATGGTTACTTCGATCCTATTATCCATTGCGACTTGAAACCCAGTAATGTGTTAATAGATGCTGACATGGTGGGACATTTGAGTGACTTTGGTGTTGCAAAGCTCTTAGGAGATGGAAATTCCATTGCCATTACAAACACCTTAGCAACAATTGGTTACATTGCTCCAGGTAAATGTTTCAATTTTTTAACTTTCTCAATTTGATTTTAACATTCATCACATAACATTTTGCATTTCTAATGGTTTCCTATCAAATTTTGCACTCCTAGAATATGGACAGGAAGGTCTTGTATCCACACGTAGCGATATGTACAGTTATGGCATTATGTTGTTTGAAGTTTTCACAAAGACTCAACCTGGAGATGAAATGTTCAGTGAAGATTTAAACTTGAGAAGTTGGGTTCACAATGCACTTCCTACAAATACAGTTCAGATTATAGATCCAAATTTACTTGGACCAAATGAAGAAAAGTATGATGAAAAGTTGCAGTGTGTGTCGGCTATCTTTGAGATAGGTCTGAAATGCTCAACAAAATCCCCTCGAGAGAGGATGAATGTGAAAGATGCCTTATCATCATTGATAAAGATCAAAGCCCAACTTCTTTCCCTGTATGCAAGTATTTAGAGTAGTATGTATGTATTAGCCAGCATCTCCTATTGTATCTTTCTTTAAAATGGAAATAAAATGCAGCAGATACAGTTTATATATGTACACAAATCCTATTTTGTCATTTACTTGGTCTTCTTCGGCTGCATCTTCTTTCCAGAATTCTGTTTTAAGTTTTTGATGAGCAAGAAGGACTCACACTAACTGCTCATGTAGCTTAAGCTGAAGAGAGAAGATTAGCATTGTTGTCTGAATTGTGCAAAAATGAAGTGCTTTACAAAGAGGGAAAACAGAAACGTTTTATACAAAGGCCAAGCATTTATAATTGCCATTCTAGGAGAAAAGACACTAATGCCCTCAAGGCTAAACTACTAAAACTGTAGGCTGTTTAGTTGATTGATTGGAAGGTGGTTGCTGCTCTGCTTGGTAAGTCCTTCATCAGTTTTCTCTCCATCCATGCTCCAGCCTCATTATAACCTCACTCACCTTGCTCCATGGATTTAGAGATCTTGAAGGAAGTATTGGTCTATAGAATATAGTAACACAGTTATACACAAATCCAGTAACTAACATTGTTTGATCAACATTTTGGTCGATAATATAATTAGATATAATTGTTAAAATATTTAAAATTGTAATATTTAAATATGATCGTTACAATACATAAGTGTTCAAAAATGTTCTACTAATATGCTTAAATTCTACATAGCATTTAACTTAGCTATCTTATTCTTATCCCTATTGTTGGCCGGAGTCTTGGAGGCCTAGTCCAATACATTGCTATTGAAACGTGGAGCTGATTGCTTTGCTAAGTGTAAGGAAGTTAAAATTGCCATTTTGCTACTATCTATAGCTTTTGGCAGAATGGTAAGCGTTTGATCCTAATACTTATTTTTTAAAATGTTTAATTTTTGTCCTAACAAATATTTTTTTTTTGAATAAGTCTTTATAAGACCGTCTCAACATATAATATTTGTTAGCTAAATATACAATAATACCTTTTTAGGTCCCTAGAAAAGTAGTATATTTTAATTAAAAGTATATTACACGGTCTTATATAAAATGATATCCACAAAATCTACTTTTTTTTTTTTTTTTTTTTTTTTTTGTTTTTTGTCTGAAGAGGAAGTGGAGACTTTGACCAAAATATTATTACACATTATCATAAGTAACAAACAATTTATTATTCATGATTAGTATTATATATTCGCTCACTTATTCTTATCAAAATTTAGAACTTCTTTTGTAACTTGTTCAAATATATCCTTTATAATTGTCATACGAATTATCAATTCTAGTTCCTCACGTGACAAAAACCAGTATCAATTTTGAAAGTTAGAGTTCCTTTTTATTTTTTTTTAATAAAATAAAATTTGATTTGCTCTATGTATACCTTTTTGTCATCAAGACATATACTTCACTACTTTACAAATTTTAATTTTCTTTCATATTGTATTTTATAAAAAAAGGTTTTTTTTTTTTTTTTTTTTTTTTTTTTTTTTTTCCATTTTTGGTCTCACAATTATAAACCATTTTCTTATTCGGTTCCTGACTATTAATATTTTTTTTCATATTTAATCCCAGAACTTTTAAATCTTTATCACATTTGGTTACTCCAACCAAACCTACTTCAAGAAGTAAGACTTAAACGTATCACTAAGTCAAAATCTATGCTGTTAGGAACTCTTGTATTAGTATTTTGATGATA